CCGCTACGCCGTGGGGCTGTGCGCCGGCTGCTGGCTGCTGCTGCTGGCCGCGCTGCTGCCGCTGGCCCGCGCCGACCTCACCTACGCCGTGGAGGCGCTGGGCATCGTCACCTGCTTCGACGTGCTCAAGTGGAGCATGCTGCCCGGCGTGGCCGTGTGGGCCGTCTTCCTGTTCGGCATCTTCGTGCTGCTCTTCCTCATCCCCTTCCTGGTCACCGTGGCCTGCTACACGGCCACCATCGCCAGGCTGCTGCGCTCGGCCGAGCCGCAGGGCCGGGGCCAGCGCCGCCGCTCCGTGTGCCTGGCCGCCCTGGTGCTGCTGTCCTTCGTCACCTGCTTCGCACCCAACAACTTCGTGCTGCTGGCCCACATGGTCAGCCGGCTCTTCCTGGGCCGCAGCCTGTACCACGTGTACAAGCTCACGCTCTGCCTCAGCTGCCTCAACAACTGCCTGGACCCCTTCGTCTACTACTTCGCCTCCCGCGAGTTCCAGCTGCGCCTCCGCGACTACCTGGGCTACGGCCGGCTGCCCGCCGCCGCCACCGACAGCCCGGACGCCCGCAGGGGCAGCGTCTTCTCCGCCAGGACCACCCTGTCCGTGCGCTCCGGCTCCACCGGCCACGGCGACGGCGTGGGCCCCGAGGGCGCGCCCCGGCCGGGGCTCAAGCGGCAGGAGAGCGTGTTCTGACGGCCGGCGGGGCAGCTGGCACTCACGGGGAGACGTGGCTGGCGCCGCGGGCACACAGAACCAGAGAGCCGGGCCGGACGGGCCGAGGCGACTGGCGCAGACCCAGCCGGGTGCCACTACCCTCCCCGTCCCCGGCACACCTTGGTTTGCAAACTGACTATGCGATGCACACCTTGGTTTGCAAACTGACTATGCGATGCACACCTTGGTTTGCAAACTGACTATGCGATGCACACCTGGGTTTGCAAACTGACTATGCGATGCACACCTGGGTTTGCAAACTGACTATGCGATGCACACCTGGGTTTGCAAACTGACTACAAGATGCATGGCGTCCAGTGTGGTTTGCTGAGGGCCCGGCGTGCACAGAGCTGGGGGTGACCTGCGGGCGGAGCAAGGCACGGAGGCACAGCATGGCCGCCGCCCTGTGTCTGGCCGGGCACCCGGACTGCTGGGCCCTCTTCCACAGGGACCTGAGAGCCCCTAGGACTCCAGCTCCTGCCCAGAGACAGCCGGACGCCATACAAGCCAAGGGGGACGGACCCAGGGCTCTCCGGGACTTGTGAGCCGGGCTGCACAGAGGGACGCAGCCCCGCCTGCCCCCCGTCTTCCCAGCTCTGGCCTCTGCAGCCCGGTGCAGTCTCCGTCACTCTTGGTTGTTCGGGTCATGGGGGCCCTTCAAAGAAATTAGGAAGAATTTTGCAACACTTCCCGTAGCTCTAAGAGCCCTGGTGTCACCTGGTCCCCTGGAACTGACCGTGGGGGTGCTGAGGGCTCAGTCCACCCTCGGCAGATGGATTCCTGTTTCTTATCTGTCTCTCTTGTCTCTTGTCCGTGTCTCAAAGAGACAGGGTCTCGCTATGCAGTTCAGGCTGGCCTTGAGCTCACTTTGTAGCCCAGGCTGGTCTCAGACTCGCAGTGATCTTCGTGCCTCAGCCTCCCCAGCGCTGGGATTACAGGCGTGCGCCACCACGCCTAGCTAAGGGTATTTTCTCAGCCAAGTACAAGCACTGCAGTCCCATCTGGGGACCAGGCAGGAGGCAGAGGCAGGAGGGCCTCCCTGGGAGCCTGTGGTAGAACTGTGACTTGGGACACGTCAGGCTCAGTCTCCCGAGCTCCAGAACGGGAGAGGGCGGATCCCTGTGGCTTTCAGACTCCTGGTTGGGAGGAATTTGTTACAGCAGCCCCATCCTTCGGGAAATGCATGCATATATTTACGCCCTGGCCCCTGAAGGGCGATTTCAGGGCTCCCGCTTGGCCTGTGCTCGCCCCTGGGGGCCCGTCCTGTCCTGCAGTGGAGACTTGGGTGCACGCACTGGGCGAAGGGTCAGAGGACACAGTGGAATGCACACGTCTGTGTGGTTGACCATCTGTAAGTCAGTTTATTACCAATGCCCATCCATTATCTCCAATTTCACGGCAAAGCGTCTCTGTGACAGTGACGGGGCAGGATCCATCAGCTCAGCTCTGCAGGAGGGAACCCCGAAGCTCCCACAGAGGAAGGATCTGCCCAAGCCGGGTGCTCCCCACACGCTGTTCACATCCAGGAGCAGGGGCTCTGAGCCCGGCGCTCAAACGGGGCCTGCGGCATCCAAGGTACTTGGCAGATTAAAGTGATGCCCTCGAAATGACATCTGTGAGCCGGGCGTGGTGGCGCACGCCTGTCATCCCAGCACTCAGGAGGCTGAGGCAGGAGGATTGTTGCGAGTTCAAGACCAGCCTGGGCTACAAAGTGAGCTCAAGGCCAGCCTGAACTTCAGAGTGAGACCTGTTTCCATGGAGACGGCATCTCAACCTGCAGGTCCTGGGGATCTCCGTGTACCTGCAGGGTGGGGAACCTCTGTGACACACCTCCTGTGGCACACCTCCTGACATGCACCTCCCAGGGTGCACCTCCTGACACGCACCTCCTAACATGCACCTCCTGACATGCACCTCCTGACATGCACCTCCTGACATGCACCTCCTAACATGCACCTCCCAGGGTGCACCTCCTGACATGCACCTCCTAACATGCACCTCCCAGGGTGCACCTCCTGACATGCACCTCCTGACATGTACCTCCTAACATGCACCTCCAGGGTGCACCTCCTGACATGCACCTCCTGACATGCACCTCCCAAGCTACAGGTGCTATTCACCTGGGGAAGTGTTCCTGAATTCCGCACAGCCAGCAGGAGGGAGCCAACATGTCCACAGAGCAAAGGAGACACCCCGTTTCTCCTGCCTGCCCCAAAGCCAAACCTAGAAAGCAGTGCTGACACAGCAACGCGGAGGGTCAAAGTGCTGACACAGCCGCACGCCCCGTAGCAGCCTGCACAGAAAAGCTCTCCGCAAGAGGCCAAAAAAAAAGTGTGAAAAACCTCAAACCACTGCCTGCCTGAGCCACGTGGGGACACCCGTCTAGAGGACATCCTGCAGCATGCAGGCGGCACGGTGGGGCCTGCGAGGAGCCCGCCCGCGACATCCCCGCGGATTTCACACATTTCCACGCGGCTGTGAGCGCTGCAGTCCGTAGTGGCGGCTCCGTAGTGGCGTCTCCTCCCAGCACTGCAGTAACGTTTGTGTGTATTTCATGCAAACGGAGCCCATGTGTTCACCTGGGTAAGCGGCTGCCTCGTTTGTATCTTCTTACACATTTCAAGAAGTGATGCCTCCCTACCCGTCTGCTCCTGGCAGGAAAAATGGTGGTCTGGGTTCTGCTCCGGATTTCCCCAAGGCGAGCACAGCCGTAAGCATCTCTCTGGTTTCCGAGACCTGGGCGTTGCTGGGACACCGGGAGCTCGTGGCGTGCCTCCACCCGGGACGCCGACCTTAGCGTGGGACCCACAGAGGGGGCCGGGACCCCAGGACAGTCTCACCGGACACCGTCACAGCGCCAGCATCTGAGACTGTCCCTTCTGCCTTGCAGGGCGGTGAACACGGTTTGGGTGTTGAATTTTCATGCTCTTGGGAAGAGACGGCTCCTCCCGTGCAGAAACCATCAAGGGTCATCCAAGATCACCCTGGTCAACGGAGAAATAGCTCAGATCGAATCTGCTGGGAGAACAGCTGTTCGACTCATATGTACATATTCTTTTCCTTTTTTCATTTTTTGAGACAGGGTCTCGCTGTGCAGTTCAGGCCGACCTTGAGCTCCCTTTGTAGCCCAGGCTGGTCTCGAACTCGCAACGATCCTCCTGCCTCAGCCTCCCAAGGTATCTTTTTCATTTCTGAGCCACCACTGATCTTAAGAAATCTGTGCTACTCTAGGACACCAATATGATGCTCGTGGACCCTTCAAAAAACTCCAGGGCCGGATGAATTGGGGCGCACACGCCCCAGGGGTGTTCCTCCAGAATCTGAATAATTTCAGGGACATGTTGCTCAAATGGAAGCTTCTAGAACTCCTGAGAAATCTCAGCGCGTGCCTACCGGTCGGTAGGGGCGTGCCTTCCTCGTAAATGAGCCGGCTTCCCCCAACACAGTGGGCTCGGCATGGACCCCGTTTCTCCCAGCCCCAGAAGGGGAAGCAACGTGCCAAAGTCCGAGCTGCAGGGAGGGGTCGTGCCCGAACCAGACCCGGCGCTCAGCTCCGCCACAGTGCCCAGCACAGCCCGGGGCGGCAGGGCTCGGCGGAGCGTCCACAGCACGAGGGTCTCCGGGCTCTCGCACCGTGCTTCTTTGCTCCTGGGTCCTCGGCTGTGAGAGAGATCGCGCAACCGCACAACCAAACACAGCCCCAGGCTCCGGGCAGACCACGGACGTCCTGTTGTGTAAACCCCAGAGACGACGCCGGTGGCCCGTCCGGGACTCGCACGCAAGCCCAGGGCAGCTGGGGTGGGGGGACCTTGAGCCCAGCGTGGGGACACTGAGGTCCACCTGGTCTCCACGGGGCTCCCTCCGGGGTTCACAGCAGACCAGGGGTGCTCACTGGACACCGAGGGGAGCCCCGGGGGCAGTGCGTCTGCACGATCTCTGCCCACCTAAGGTGACTGTAAAATAAAGTTGGCTTGTCAGAGAGTGAGGTGCTGTGTTTCTTTCTGTTGCTCCCAGACTTCGGGCTGAAGCCTGAGACCCACGTGCGGCAGAGCCCGTGTCTGCGGAGCCTGCGTCCTGGGTCACAGCTGCTGCCTTCCCTTGCCTGGGAGGCCCCATCCTGGAGGCCGAGGTCCACTGCGCTGGTCTCTCCCTATCTTAGTCCACGGGGGCCGCCATGTGCAATCCCACAGCCCGGGCGCTGACACACAACAGAGCTCGGTGGCCCAGTCCTGGAGGCTGAGGTCCACTGCGCTGGTCTCTCCCTATCTTAGTCCATCGGGGCCGCCATATGCAATCCCACAGCCCGGGTGCTGACACACAGCAGAGCTCGGTGGCCCAGTCCTGGAGGCTGAGGTCCACTGCACTAGTCTCTCCCTATCTTAGTTTGCGTCATTCCTTAGAGGAGACAATGGGATTTGAAACACAAACCTGGCAGCCTGATCTCCAACCACAGGTGTTTGGGGAAATGGAAATCTCCACCATCCGGAAGTCCCTTTCGTCTAGAGGCCGCATGATCCACCTGGACCGGTTGTTCGGGGCCTGGCTGCAGGTGGTCACCCTAGGGTGTCTGGAAGCAGGGCGGGGTCCGTGGTGGGCAGTGGCACACACGGGCACGGGCAGTGGTGGACGGGTCGAGGAAGCCTCTTCCTGTCCCCCAGTTCCAGCCTCCACGTGCGGCTCCTTGGGGCTCGCCGCAGCCCACGTTAGCACCAGGTCTTGTGGCATGCGTTGGAGGAGGACACAAAATCAACACACAAATGCCACTAGCATTTGTGTACCCCAATAATGAAGCCAGTGAGAAAGAAACTAGGAAAACAGTGCTATTCCCAGGAGCACCCAGAAAAATCAAGGACGTGGAAATCAACCTCAGCCAGGAAACATAAGATTTCCATGAGGAAAACTACACTGCCCTGAAAAAGGAGATTGCAGAGGAACTCAGGAAATGCAAAGATCACCTACTTACAATCCATCATTAAGCTAGAGCTATCTACCTCCCTGCAAGCTATTCTCAACCATCTGATTATGACCAAGCATCTACCTCTGCCCTACGGTATCTGTGTAACTATCACCTCTGTATGTATTACCATCTGTCTACTTATAATCTGTCCACTGCGATCCATCATCCATCTAGCTGGCTATGATCTATCATCTACTTGTGATCTATCTGTCACACATCTATCAACCTATAATCTATTTATAAGCTATTATCTACCTGTGATCTATCATCCATCAACATATAATCTATTTACAACCTTTCGTCTACCTGTGATCGATCTATATCGATCTATCACCCATCTATTGCCCTAAAATTTATTTATAATCCACCATCTGTCTTGGATCTATGTCTGTAGTTTTCCATATATATATTTATGTATCACCCATCTATTCACACACCATCTTCTCTTTTTTCTTTTTGAGACAGGGTCTCGCTATGCAGTTCAGGCTGGCCTTGAGCTCTCTTTGTAGCCGAGGCTGGTCTCGAACTCTCAACAATCCTCCTGACTCAGCCTCCCGAGTGCTGGGATGACAGGCGTGCGCCAGCATGCCTGGCAATCTATCTTTAATCTAACATGTATGTATAGCTCTCTATCCTCTACTAGTCATCCATCGATCATCAATACGCCATCATCTACCAGCAGTCTGTCATCTATCAATAGCTAGCTATCGTCCATCCACCTATCATTAATCCACCATCTATGTATCTTCTCTGTACCATTCATTTGATAGATCCATCTATCTACGCACCTATCAAGCTATCTTCTATCACTGCACACCACTTATCTGTTATCTCCCTACCATCCACCAATCTACCATCTTCCTATCTATTTATCTATCATCTATAGAGCTATCACCTGCTTATTTAAGTATCCATCCACCCATTCACCCATCATCCACCCATCCATACATACATCCACCCATCCACCCACCCGTCCATCCACCCGTACACCCACCTGTTCATCCATCCATCCACCCATCCACCCATCCATCCATCCACCCATCCATCCATCCACCCATCCACCCACACATCCATCCACCCACCGATTGAACCACCCATCGACCCACCCATCCACCCACCCACCCATCCATCCGTCCACCGATTCACCCACCAATCCACTCACCCACCCATCCACCCAAGCACTCACCCACCCACCCATCAATCCATCCATCCACCCATCCATCCACCCACCCATCCACGCACCCATCAATCCATCCATCCACCCATCCATCCACCCACCAATACACCCATCCATCCATCCACCCATCCACCCACCCATCAATCCATCCATCCATCCACCCATCCACCCACCCATCCACCCACCCATCAATCCATCCATCCACCCATCCATCCACCCATCCATCCACCCATCCATCCACTCAACCATCTATCCACCCATTCATCCACAAAACCATCCATCCATCCATCCATCCACCCACCCATCCATACAACCACCCATGAATCCATCCATCCACCCACCCATCCACCCACC